AGACTGTCCAAGCCGGGGCTCGAACCGACAACCTTCCGATTACAAGGCGAACTCCATAGGTTTTGACTACCTTTGTGACTGAATGGGGAGAGTTTTCAGTTTATTTTGGGACAAAGTCAGCTTGCTTTTTAAGCCTTTTTTACCTGTGACTCTGCAAAATCAATAAAATCTCAGTGACCACCAAGTTAATTTCAAAATAATCTTCAAAATAACTCTACAAATAGACCTGTTTAGGCATTTTAAGGTGACTTCAGAGTTGCTTCTACAGGACAACCTTTATATTTCATTCAGGTTCACTCATTGTGATGCTGGGTTTCATAAAAAAAAAAGCTGGTGATGCCCCAAAACACTCAAGTCAAGGATTAAAACCATTACCTCATAAAGCAATGAGTTACATCAAGGTGGCTTTACCCAAGTTTTATATCTATTTTTTTAAATAACTCATGAAATGATTATAAATCATTGTTTGTGTGGCTGCAGATAAGCTGCAGTTGTTGGTAACTGTAAACGTTCACACTTCTCCCTCTGTTGCAGGAGTTTATGGGTTCCTGACATTTGGAAAGGACGCGAGGCCTGACATTTTAATGTCGTACACTAGCAGCGATGTCCTGATGCTGATCGCGAGGCTGCTGTTTGGCATCTCTATCATCACCATCTATCCCATCACCCTGCTGCTCGGCAGGTCAGCGACTCTTCAGCTGAATCTTGTTAACTTGGCTCACTTTTCCATTTAAATGAAACGATCATCAGTTAAAGCAAAGTTTCACATTTAAAAACTTTTACGTGAAGTGAGGGCAAAGACACAAACTGTGACCACCTAAATCATCTTCACAGGGTGCAATGTTTCGATTGCAAAAGACAGTATGTGGCTACGTGAAGATTGTTTAAGCACATCTGTTTCTGCTCCTCAGATCAGTGATCCAGGACCTGCTGCTGAGCAGGCGACAGAGACGCATCGGCGTGGTGACGGTAGACTTTGAAAGCCGCAGCCGCTACATGCTAACGCTCCTATGGATAACTGCGACGCTGCTCATCGCTGTGTTTGTACCAGACATCAGCAAGGTCATCAGTGTGATCGGAGGGATCAGCGCATTTTTCATCTTTATCTTCCCAGGTAGCGCTCTTGGTTATTGATGCGTGTTATGACCAATGTTTCACGTGTCCTGTTGAAACTTTGTGTTTGTGTTTGAACAGGGCTCTGTTTGATGTTTGCCATGCAGTCAGAGCCGGTGTCCTGTAAGACCAGGTGAGGGAAAAACTTCATTTAAATGTTAATGCAATGCAAATATGCAGATGGAAGGTAATCCAAAGAAGAGACAAAGAATGAAGGAAGTTTGCATAATAAGCTGAAATGCCTGCGTGGATGTTTGACTGGATCTTCACGCTTGCACTATATCTCAAGTTGTTTTCGTGTGACAACCATATCATTATTATCATTATTGTTCTTTTTTCTGCATTTATTCTATTTCACTGTATGTGCCGCTCTCTGTACTCTCAACTGCCTCATGGGGATAAATAAAGTTATCTGAATCTGAAGCTAAAGGGATTAATTTAGCAAACATCTAGTCAGGAGCGATATAGACAACTCAGCTGACTAATTCATAAATCCATAATAA